TAGTTGGAATCTCACTCCATCATCCAGGCTGGAGTGCAGTGGCACGCTCACAGCCGCCCCAGAGTTGACCTGCTGGGCTCTGCGATCCTTCCAGCTCAGCCTTTCAAGCAGCCAGAACTATATGCTACCACGCCCGGCTAATTTTTTAAATTGTTATTATTATTTATTGTAGAGACGAGGTTTCGCCAAGTTGCCCAGGCTGGTCTCGAACCCTTCAGCTCAGACAATACACTCACCTCGGCCTCCCAAAGTGCTGGGATTACAGGCTGAGCCACTGAGCCTGGCCCAAATTTTTTTTTTTTTTAATAAAGCCAGGCATAAGCCCACCACAGTGACTCATGCCTGTAATCTCAACACTTTGGGAGGTGAAGACAAGAGGATTGCCTGAGCTCTGGGGTTCAAGAGCAGCCTGAGCAACATGGTGAGACTTCTTCTCTACAATAAATAAAAAAATTAGCCAGGTGTGATGGCACAAGCTACCTGTAGTTCCAGCTACTTGGAAGGCTGAGGCGGAAGGATCTCCTGAGCCCAGCGGGTTGAGGCTGCAGTGGCTATGAGTGTGCCACTGCACTCTAGCCCGGGTAAAAGTGAGACTGTGAGACTCTGACTCAAAAAAAAAAAGTCAGGCATGGTAGCTAAGATGGGAGGATCACTTGAGGCCCAGAGTCCAAGGTTACACTGAACTATCCTTATACCATTGCACTCCAGCCTGGGTGACAGAGGCAGATGCTGTCTCTTTTTTAAAAAACAAATGATGGGTATGGTGACTCACACATGTAATCCCATCACTCTGGGAGGCCAAAGCAGGAGGATAACTTGAGCCCAGGAATTGGAGACCAGCCTAGGCAACTTAGCGAGACTCCATCTCTACAAAACATATTTTTTAAAAAATTATCCAGGTGTGGTGGCACATGCCTGTAGTCCTAGCTACTCAGGAGAATGAGGGGGGAGTATCCCCCTGAGTTCAAGAAGTTGTGGCTGCGGTGGGCTATAATCATGCCAACACACTCCGGCCTGGGCAACACAGTGAGATCCTGACTCAAAAATAAAAATAAACAAGTGAAAGCCTATTTCTGCTGCATTCAGGTCCCAAAGCATCAGGCAATGCTCCAAGGCCCCAGAGTCCGGGACATGTGTGCCCAACACCCTGTGCCCCACCTGCTGCTGCTGCTGCTGCCTCAGAAAGGGCAGGGATGGCCCGGCCCAGCACTCACGCTCATGGCGGCCACATCGTTTTCATAAGCCTCGCGAACTTTCTTCATGATTTCCTGCTCAGCCCTGCAGCAGTTCTCAATGGCGCCCTTCACGGTGATGGTCCTCTCGGGGTTGTAGAGGGTGAGGTCCTGCAACCTGACAGGGAGAGCAGAGTGCCATCGGTCTTTCATTGGCACGGGGTGGGGGTAGGGGAAGGGGCAGTGGAGTCACAGGGCCACCATTTCTGCAGGCTGTTTCCCCAACTCCTGGCAAACAATTCTGTCTCCAGTTTTGCTCTCTGCCCCAACTGGTAACCAGGGCAAGGAATGACATACTGGGAAACAACAATGCCCAACTGAAAGCCCCCTGCGGGCAACAAATTCGATCACAGGTCAAGTGGGAAGGAGGAACCAGCCTGCAAGTGTCCCCCCTGGCTCACCCAAGCCAGGCCCTGTGCCTTCTGGAAGATGGCGATGACTTTGCCCACAGGCCAAATCAGGCATGTCCAACCAGTAGTCATGCAGCCCCACAGAAGCTTTTAACATCATGTGTTTATTTGCGTTTATTTTCTTCGTGACGCCATGCATAGTTCCATTTTTGAAGTCCGCACTCACGCCTTATTCATGACATTGCTTTTTGGGAGCACATACATTTGGGAACAACTGTTTTCAACTAGTAAGCACACAAAAGCAGAATTTGAACAGACATTTCTAATGAGCACCCTGAGAACTCACTAAGAATTGCAGGCCAGGCATGGTGGCTCATGCCTATAATCCCAGCACTTTGGGAGGCCGAGGTGAGAGGACTGCCTGAGCCCACAGGTTCGAGACCAGTCTGGGCAACTTGGTGAGACCTCATTTCTATAATAAATCCAAAAAATTAGCCAGGTATGATGGTATACGCCTGTGGTTCCGCTCCTTGGAAGGCTGAGGAAGGAGGATTGCCTGAACCCAGCAAGTCGAGGCTGTGGTGGCCGTGAGCATGCCACTGTCCTCCAGCCTGGGTGACAGAGTGAGACCCTAACTCAAAAAAAAAAAAAAGTAACCACTTCCACTGAACCAGACACTGGTATATTAGTTTTACAAAACCAAAGTCTAGACAGGTGCGGTGTCTCCTGCCTGTAATCCCAGCACCTTGGAAGGCTGAGGTGAGAGGACTATCTGAACTCAGGGGTTCGAGACCAGCCTAAGCAACATGGCAAGAACTCATCTCTACAATAAATCAAAAAATTAGCCAGGCGTGGTGACGCACGCCTGTGGTTTCGGCTACTTGGAAGGCTGTAGTGGAAGGATCACCTGAGCCCAGCAGGTGGAGGCTCCGGTGGCTGTGAGTGTGCTGCTGCACTCCAGTCTGGGCAACAGAGTGAGACTTCAATTAAAAAAACAAAAACAAAAACAAAGTCAGGCCGGGCTCAGTGGCTCAGCTTATAATCCTAGCACTTTGAGAGGCCAAGGCAAGTGGATTGCCTGAGTCTGCGAGTTCGAGTCTAGTCCAGGCAACTTGGCAAGACCTCGTCTCTATAAAAACAAAAATTAGCCGTGTGTGGTAGCACATGCCTATAGTTCTGGCTACTTGGAAGGCTGAGGCGGAAGGATGGCTGGAGCCCAGCAGGTCGACTCTGGGGTGGCCGTGAGCATGCCGCTGCACTCCAGCAGCCTGGGTGAGAGTGAGACTCCAACTCAAAAAAAAAAAAGTCCCAATTTCCCATTAGTTTCATATCATTTTCATTTTCCTGAATTTTACAATAATTTTTAAAAATAAAAGAAGTCTTATTATGTATATACACTATCATATAATTTATGTGCAGCCCAGGACACTTCCTCTTTACTCGATGTGGCTCAGGGAAGCCAAAAGGTTGGACATCCTGGGCTAGACCCTGATGAAATGAAGAGATGGTGCCTGCACAGGCAGACAAAGGTCAGGTCCAGCCACTCCTCATGGCAACCCCGAAGCCCCCCACAGCAGCAAACCTGAGCAGATCCAGCCCTCAGAGGGATTTCTTCCATGTTTGCTAACCTTTCTCTGACTGTGTTTCATCAGCAGGCAGAAGCATCACCCATTGAAGGGGGCGCATCAGGGCTCTCTAAGGGAATGCCGCCTACCCAGGTCCCAGTGTCCCGCCTCATAGACAGAAGAGGGAGAGCCTTACGAGGAGATGGTGATTTTCGTCTCGGTGTCCTGCTCCACCTTCTTCAGGTTACGCCCTTCCTTCCCAATGAGACGCCCCACGAAGTTATTGTGGGCCAGGATCTTGAGGGGGACCTCGTCAGCCCTAGGGAAAATAAGGGAAGCAGCGGAAAACAAGAGCTCCTTCAACGGGAGGCAAAGTGGCGACTCGGCCACCATGCCACCCCAGATGAGATGTTTCTGAGTAAAAGTAAGATGCCAAAAATCAACAGATCCTAAGTGATCTATAACAGAAACAGCACCAAATACCGCACGTTCTCACTCAAAAGTGGGACTTGAACATTTATCACAATAGCACAGGGGAAGGATTAGCAGTTGCAGGACACAGCCAGGGGAGGGCAGCACAGGGCACGTAACAACACACAGGGTACCTGACCCTAAACCAGGGGAAGAGAGGACCAGCTAGAGACCCAAACGTCACCTGCACGTAGACTACTTATGTCCCTAATCCTCACTTGTATCACACACCTATCTAAATAAAATAAAGTTTAAAAAAAAGCAGATCCGTGGTTGCTTAGTGAATGCCATGGGGTACCAGGAAACTTTGGGAAAGACAAATACGTCCTTTCTTAATCATAGTGATGGTTTTACAGGTACGTACATCTCAAAACTCATCAAATTATATACCTTACAAACATGCGATTTATTGGCATCAATTAAACATCAATAAAGCTGTAAATAAATCAGGCAATGTGACGCCTGTAGGCTCAGATATCTGGGAGACTGAGGCAGGAGGATCACTTGAGTTCAGAAATTAAGAGGCTACAGTGAGCTATGATTCCACCACTGCACTACAGCCTGGGTGACAGAGCAAGAGTCTGTCTCTCATTTTTTTTTTTTTTGAGTCGGAGTCTCACTCCATCACCCAGGCTGGAGTGCAATGGCATGTTCACAGCCACCCCAGTGTCAATCTGCTGGGCTCCGGCGATCCTTCCATCTCAGTCTTCCAAGTAGCCAGAACTATAGGCGCGTGCTATCACACCCGGTTAATTTTTTATTTATTGTAGAGATGAGGTCTCACCATGTTGCCCAGGATGGTCTCGAACCCGTGGGTTCAGGTAATCCTCTTGCTTCGGCCTCCCAAAGTGCTGGGATTACAGGCTGAGCCACTGTGCCTGGCAAGACTCTGTCTCTTTTTTTTTTTTTGAGTTGGAGTCTCACTCTGTCGCCCAGACTGGAGTGCAGTGGCCACTCCCGGCTACCGCAGCCTCGACCTGCTGGGCTCCAGCGATCCTTCCACCTCAGCCTTCCGAGTAGCCAGAATTACAGGCACGCGCTACCACGCCCGGCTAATCTTTTTATTTTGTTGTAGAGATGAGGTCTCGCCTGCCCAGGCGGGTCTCGAACCCGCAGGCTCAGGCAATCCACTCACCTCAGCCTCCCAAAGGCCCGGGATTACAGGCTAAGCCACCGAGCCCGGCTGACTCTGTCTCTTAAAGATAAATAAAACTAGGCTGGGAGTGGTGGCTTATGCCTATAATCCCAGCACTTTGGGAGGTGGAGGTGAGAGGATTGCCTGGGTTCAGAGGTTCAAGACCAGACTGGGCAACTTGGAGAGACCTCATCTCTACAATAAATAAATAATAATAATAATAAAAAATAAAATGAAAAAAAAGTAGATGACAGCATATTCAGTTTGTTCTTTGAGCTAAAACCCGTGTGCGCACATACACGCACACATAAGAGAGGGGACTTAAAAAAACAAAACTTATCTATAAAAAATTGTGTATAGGACAGGTTCGATGGCTCAGCCTATAATCCCAGCACTTTGGGAGGCTGAGGCAGTGGATTGCCTGAGTCCACAGGTTCAAGACCAGCCTGGGCAACTTGCCAAAACCTTGTCTCTACAATAAATCAAAAATCAGCCAGGTGTGGTAGTACACGCTTATAGTTCCGGCTACTCGGAAGTCTGAAGCAGAAGGATCACTGGAGTCAGGAGGGTTGACCCTGGGGTGGCCGTGAGGGTGCCATTGCCCTCCAGCCTGGGAGATGGAATGAGACTTCAACTAAAAAAAAAAAAAATTCACTGAAGCCAAACACAGCCTCTCACAACAATGCTAGCTGGTACCCTGATGCTGATGGGTTCCTAGAATAACTTACCTAGCAGAGGAAGCCTGTACTATTATAAGGGGCTCACCCTCCAAAAAACAGTTGTTTTTTCGCCCCCCCATACCCGTATGCACACACACTTGTGAGTGTATAGAGTTTCTAGGTCATGCAAGAAGGTAAGGAGGAGGATTTCATTTCCCAGTTCACACGCTTCTGGGCAATGTCTATCTATGTCTCTTGCATCTCCATATCACAGCCATGAAAAGTTGAGGGGGAGGGGCTGACAGTCCCTGAAGACCCATGAAAAGCAGGAGCCTCACGTTTTGGTGTCCTTGGCTTCTTTATGCATAATCTCCAAGATCATCTTGCAGGCAGACGAGCAGCCCTCGGGGGTCGAGTGCACGCTGATGGCTTTTTCCGCTGCGCCCGCATTCTCCTTCCTATGCACGTCTATCCTGGGGACCACAAGGGCATGTCCGTTAGTCGTCCCCGCGACACTGGTTCCTTCTGCATCCTCCACCTCCCCTCAAGCAAAGGCATGGAACCTGCTCTTCTTGAAACAAGGCCAATCACGTGCAGATTTGGGCAGGGCAAAGAAAAGGCCAGAGAAATAGGACCATTCTGCTCCTCTGGATTCTGCCTCAGACCAGCAATGACCCCATCAGGAGGTGGTTGAGGACAAGAAGGCAATCTATCAAGTCCCTGCAGAGTGGTGATTACCAGACCGCAGCTCTAAAGCTGCACTCTCTCCTTGAATTCTGTCCATGTCCTTTGAAAGCATGTAAAGGGAAAACGGTGTGTCCCAAGCTAGAAGTAAACAATAACAGTATTTGTTATAAATAAGGACATGATGTGACGTGTTCTTTTCCACTGAGAGCACTGAGCAACTATCGAGAATGGAGAAAAGTGGAGGTTATAATGGAAGGGAACTGGGCCATAATTATGACCTCTTACTGATGGCCCTGATGTTGGCCAGTCCTGTTGCCACCACTAAGTGGTCACAAAATCACAGAGCACCGAGGAGTAACTGACTCACCAAGTCTGGGTTCGCTTGAGGAGATTGTCTAAGAAATGTCACACAGAACTCCGCTTGCCACGAGAGTGTATGACTCAGCACCCGAGACCCATTCTTCCTCCCCCTCTGCCCGCTGCTACCCACGAGCCTGGCAATGGAAGCAGTGACCCCGATTGTTCCAGGCAACATTTCCTAAGAGACGCGGACGTCCTCAGCTTGCTTCCAGGCAGCCTCCCCAGGTACCAACCACCATTCCCAACACCCAAGACTCACTTGGACTGGGTCTGTTTCGTGATGTTGCGGATGGTGGCCCCCTCCTTGCCAATGATGGCGCCCACATACTGAGTAGGTACCAGGAGCCGAAGGGGGATGTCCACTTGCTGCTGTTTGGCCGGGGCCCCTGCGGCCACAGGTGAGCCCTGGCGTGGCTGACCCCGGGAGCCAAAGCCTCCTCGACGCCCATTCTCGGGACCCTGTGCTATCTGCTCATCAGGAATGTAGGAGACCTTCAGGGCATGGTTTTCCAGCTGGTGGCCGTTCAGCTTCATGATGGCTCTGGGGACGAAGTGAGAGTCTACTGGTCACTCCAATCCATGCCAGGCACCCCATGCTCTCCTCGTACAGAGCATCCACACACCAAAGAAAGGGAGACCGCCACTTGGCTACTAGCCCTGCCTCCACCTTCTAGAACCTTCCAATCTAAATGACATCAAAGGAAAAGTGATAAGCATAGTGATTCCTAACATTTGATGGGGATTTAGTGTTCACAGGGGCCTTCCACTGAGATCAGAGAGATGGGCTTCAAGTCCAGTATAAAGTATAAAGTGCTCCGTCTCTAAAAAGGAAGGCCAGACGGGTCTTTCTCTTTTGAGAGACTTGCCCATGTCAGGTCTTTCTGGCATGAATCTTCTCTCTCTTCTTCTCACTAATTAACCTTGTTTTAAAACATTGCCGGCCACTCTGAAAATCATTCCAAGGTTGAGTCCACGAGTTTTACACCAAACTCCACCCGGCATCATCACTGGCAACCCACATGGGGCCTGAGGAATTCAGCAATTACTGGCACACATGGTCTGTAACATGAAAAGTATGGGCCTGGAGACAGATGGGCTAACAACATCCTTTCCTTAGAAGCACTTCTTGAGGCCTCATCTCACATACACAGATAAACTCCAAAGACTCAGCTGGGGAGGAGAATTTCTGAGAACAGGAGCTTTGACTGCTCCTAACCAAGGAACTGGAAGCACACAGGACATGCTCTTTTTTTCTTTCCTGATTTAACAATTGATGCAGTTGGTAAGACTATTAATATTCTCATTACTGTGATGTCCACGTAAGTGATATTAAAAATCTTACAATCTCTTTTAATAATATAGGCTAGGCATGGTGGCTCAAGTCAATAATCCCAGCACTTTGGGAGGCCAAGGCAAGAGGATTTGGTCTCCCCAAGTTCGAGACCAGCCTGGG